TAATACTTTCCAATCTGCTTCAATTTCTTTTAAATCTCTTACTGCTATTATTAATAAATCATCATTTCTTTCTCTAAATTTTCTAAGAATTAATTCAACTCCACGATGATATCCAATAACTAATTTATGAAATGAACTTGTTACTTTATTAATAATACAACTTGACATTAATTTCTTTTTATGAAAAATTTGTGGTTGGTTTTTAATAATTTTTGTTGGTTCTTCTTCTGAAATAAAAATATCAGAATTAAGAACTGATGTTATTTTTTGTTCTTTAATTCTTTGATATTTACTTTCACTTGAAATAATAAATATTCTATCTTTTGCATCTAATTGTTTTGAACAATTAAAATATTCAATTCTATCTCCTGACATAATTCCAACAATAACACATCCTAATTCGTTCATAATTATTTTTTCTACTTCTGTTCCAGTTTTACCAATAAAATATTGTGGTGTTTTAAAATTTCTTAATAAATTAATTTGACTTTTACGTGTTTTAATTGAAAATAATGATCTCATTACATCAATATAGTGTGGAACACACATTTCACCAGCTAACATTAATCTAACATATTCTTCACATAATACTTCTGCTCCTAATGTTTTAAATACACTAAATAAATCAGGTTTTTTAATATAAACAAATATTGGACATGAACATATTTGTAATAATGTTTTACATCTTAAAAAAGTAAGTTGATCATTTCCATCTGATGTTAAAATTACTTGTTTTGCTTTTTCTGCATTAGATTGATGTAAATCAAATTCATTTTGTGAATCTCCATTATAAAAAAAACGTTTATATTTTCTTTTTGATAACGCACGAGAATCAAATTTAGGTAATAACGCTACCATATCACTTTTAATTTTAGGAATAAAATAATGAAGTAAATGTGAATCACCAGTATAAAGAACATGTTTCTTAGCATAAAATAATCGTGATTGTGATCTTTGATTTAAAGCAGTAATAATTTGACCTAACCTCATAGGAAATATAAAAAAGAAAGCTAATATATATACTGTACAATAAATTCTTCCAAGACTAGTTTGTGGATACATATCTCCAAATCCAACTGTAACAATTGTTACAACACAAAAATAAAAACAATTATGAAATTGATGAAAACTATTTGATGGATTATATCCTTCTAATAAATGAAAAACAGAAGCAGAAAAATAAAGTAAAGATAATAGAAATACAATAGTATTTGATATCTTATCTACAATATGATATAATTTTTGATTTTCGCCTACCCAAAAATAAACTAATGCTTCAGAAAGTAAACAATCAAGATATAAAACTCTAAAGAAACAAAGTGAATAAACATGACTATGATTTTTCCAATTATGAAATATTGATTCTTCTGTAATAACATAATAAACTAATGGAATAAATGTAATAATAAGAATAGATAATGATATTGGAAGCATAAATCTTTGTGTGTGTAAATTTACAATACATTCATAAATCCATGATAATAATAAATAACAATTTACAATAAATTCAACATATAATAATGGTTTCATTTCTTCTGGTTTATCAAAATATGTATCAATAATATTAAATATACATAAAAATAAATTCATTAAAATATCAACTATAATTACAATTCCTGTTACATATGACTTTCTTAACCATCTAATAAATTGAATCGTTTGTTCTTTGAATGGCTTTTTAATTCTTGTTGTTCGATTATCATTTAATTTATTTTCATTTTTATTATATGAATCAAATCCATGTGCAACACTTGACTGAATGTTAATATCATCAATTCCATTGGTAATCATTTCAATCTTACTTCCATTCATATGAATTTGATGACCTTTATTTTTTATAATTTCTTTCTTTTTTTTTTTTGGTTGTAAATTTTTTTCTTTTTATTATTTTTATTATTCTTTTTATAAATAAAAATTATTTTAAAAATAACTTGTTTTATAAAAACTTTGAATTTTATCATTTTTATTTTTAATTAAATGAAACCAAAAAAAGAAACAAAAAGAGAAAATATTGGTTATATAATAAAAAAATTATAAATAAAAAGTAGTTAATTAAGTATTAATAGAAATATCTTCTATTGTTCCTTGCTCAGGGGAGATTAACTAATCCCTTCGCTTTAAATGTATTTGTTCTTCAACTTTTGGCTTATTCTTTGCTTTTAGTTGTTGAACTGTGAGAACTTTCTTTTCTCATTTTTGATGTGGAATAGAGTATTTTAGACATCAATTATTTAAATATTCATTATTTAATTTCTTTTTAATTTCGATGGGTTTAAATTTCTTCTTCTTTATTTTCTTATTTTAAAGAGAGTATAAAATTACCACTGTATTGCTTTGGGCTAATATTCTTTTAGCCTCATCCACTTGACCCTTTTCTTTTGATAACCTTTCTTATATTATCAAATAATACTTGTATCATAACAAGTAATAATAACATCTTTATAAATACCCATTCGTTTATTGTCAATGATATTCTGTCATTGTACATAATAAACACTGCTATTCTTGCAGTACTGGGTAAGATGTTTTTCAACTAAATACAACATCATAACCAGTCCATAACTGGTTGATTTGAATGATGATAATATTTTAGTGTTCTGTGTGGTGTCTCTGACGTGCTACCTTCGAATCTATATAATAAAAAAATTATAATAACAAAAAAATATTATCAATTTTTTTCTTATTTTTTCTTTTTTTAATTTTATTTTAAATTTTAATTTTTTTTATCAAAAATATAAAAAAAATCAGTTTGTTTTGAAATGAACCAAAAAGATGTTTTGAATGAAGAATATAACATATTACAATCACATTATTTTAATTGCATTTATTCAAATTATTTTGCATTTGCGAATCGATTTAGTTGTGATTTAACGTTATGTAAAACAGTAGGAGAACATTTACGAGGAAATTTACAAGATCAATATTCCAATATAATAGTTGAAGTTTTAACATTAACAGATAGAATTCTTCCTTTTATATCGATGTTAATACAATGGGAAATTCTTCATACAAATAATAAAGAAAATTTATTAAGAGGAAATAATTTATGTACAAAAGTGGTGACATATTATCTTAAAAGAACATTAAGAGGGTTTGCAAGAAAAGTATTAACTCCACATATTACAGAAATTATTGAAACCAATAAATCATATGAAATTGATAAAATAACATTAGGAAATACTATTGATAAAAGTATTATTAAAGAAAATCAAAATAATTTAAAATGTATTAGTATTAAAATTATTGATTCGTTAGTTCAAAATGTTCATCAATTTCCAAAAGAAACAAATACTATTTGTAATCTTATTTGGACTTCATTACAAGGAAAATATCCTGATGATGCCAAATTACCTTCTCAATTAGTTGGAGGTATTCTTTTTTTAAGAGTATTATCTTCCTTTATAGCTACTCCTGACACAAATAATTTATTACTTCCAGGAACTAAATTGACACCTTCTTCTAGAAGAAAATTAATTTTAGTTTCAAAAACTCTTCAAGCTATTTCAAATGTTTCAACAAATTCATTCGACTCTGTTTTAGAACAAATGAAAGAAGTTCTTATTCAACAAATTCCTCGTCTTCATGAATTATATAGAATTGTATCTCTTGACTCTACAATATTACCAATAAATGATTTTATATCAAAAGATATTCCATTACGTCAATGCGATATTAATATATTTTTCTCTTTACATTATTTATTTAATCAAGCAAAAGATAATCATTTAATTTCTCCTCAAAACAGAACAGAGTTAAGACTCTCTTTAAATCCAAAATACTCAAATTCTATGGCACAAATTGATTTTAATCAAATTAAAGAAAATGATTCTAAAATTTCTTCTTCTTCATTTAGAAAAAGAGTTTTTCCTTTAAAAAGTCCTCAAAGAATTGAAAAATCAAATGATATTTTTTCTTCAGACATAAAACCAATTAAAAAGAAAGATTTAATTGTTTGTGAAATAGAAAACACTGAAGAAAAATCTAATGAAAATGAAATTCAACAAAATAACTTACCTCCTTTCCTTCTTCAAAAACCTTCATCTCCAAAACCTTTACAAGAACCTTCAAAAAGAAGAAGTTATAGAAGATCATTATATGGAGGAACAATTGATATAGATTCTTCTTATAAAGACTTATCTAATTTAATTGGACCAACTCCATTTGAACCAATAAAATCAATTAAAAAAGTTATTGAATGGGAAATACCAGAAATTGATGAAGATATTCAAAGTTTATTATCTGA